TATACTCATACGTCAAAAAAGTCTATTAACTGGCAGTTGACTTCTTCTAACTATCATCACCTCACTCTATGTCATATTCGACTACTTCCACAGTACTCACCTCATCTTTTTCCCTACCTTCGTCTTTGAAATACTCTTCTGTCCCCCACCCTCTCGACTACTTTCACTTTGATGTTCCTACTCCCCTCTACGAAACCTGAAGTCAAATAAAGGGCTAATGATAACCATCAAAATGCCTGCCACTTGATATAAATAAATATGGATCAGAGTACTGCAATAGCGGTACATATTTTTTATGATTTACTTAACAAAAAAGATGTATAATTAAATGTAATTTATTTAGGTACCTTCGGAGACTGTTGTAGAGACAGAGGATCCTATCACTCAGCAAACAGAATCGTCAACATCTTCTGCAGGTAATTCTTCAAACCCGCAGAATGTTTTCTTTTGTCGAGTCTGCAAACTCTACTTCCGCACACGCGAACGCCTCCTACGACACGAGAAAAAGTCTGCAGTGCACAATCGCAGAGTGAGTTCTCATTAACTACTTTCTGTAAATGACCAAACCATTTAAGCTCTTTCAATTGACGAATCAGATTATTTTTATCTTTCTGGTTATAATTTATTGCGTTGGCTTGGGCCGTTTCAATATTTATTTATTTATATCAAATGACAGGCTTTATGCTAGCTATCAATAGCCCTTTAGTTGACCTCTTGCTTCGCAGAGGGGAGTAACATCAAAGTCACAAATTGTCGAGAGAGGGAGAGAAGGGGGGATAGAAGAGCGGTTCATAGATGTAAGAGAAACAGACAGACGCAAGGGCAGAGAAAAAGGTAAGGTGAGTTAAGTACTGTGAAAGTTGTTGAAAATGACATACAGTGAGGTCATGGTAGTTTGAAGTCAACTGCACCCCTTAACGAGCAATGTAAATTTTTGACAATTAATTAACATCTGGATATGAGGTCTGACTGCTGTTAACAGTGGTCTTTCTAATTTTAATTAAAATGTCTGTCCCCCATTTTTTATTCATTTATGCCAGTTGAAGCTAAACTGTAACTTCGTACACTATTTTGCTGATTACAGACATTCCATTGTTTTGCACTTTGAACATTCCTTTCTCCTGGCAGAAATGTCCTGTCATATATGTTTGTTTATCATTAATTTCCTCTGACAAATACCGAATTCTAAGGATTCAGCATTCGCCTGGTAAATTAGTGGCGGTTTTACACATAGCCATCTAAGGCTCTTAAATCAAGTCGTTACTAAACTGTAAATTTACAAGTTGGAGTTTAGCAACAATAATACATTAAAGAATTTATTTGGCCGAATGAGTACTGCGTATTTAAAAGACGATCCACTAGAATAGATCCAAATTCATTAGGAGATCACTATAAGTGAATATGCAAAGCTTGGCGTTGTGGTCAAGTCTTACTGAACTAAATTCAGTGGCCTTTGTCGATAAATTTATAGAATCCACAGCATTTAATGACGTGATTGAATAGCCATTTATAGGCACTTTAAAGGAAGTAAAAATAACCCAGCTGATTTAAAGATCGGAGATAGTGACTTATATCGGCCAAATGCCCCGCCCAAATGAAGATGGAAGTGACGCAACCACCTGCTCTTCTAATTCACACAATTTCTGATGTTGACTTTCTTTTGCCAACACACGACCTTAGGGGATTAATAGTGAAATATGCGCGATTAAGAAGCTAAATTGGAATTTAACTTTCAGTTCGCTAAAATTACACCCCCCTCCCCCCAATAGACTTGTCCTTACTTTTCCAGGAAGACCTCCCTACTTGGTTGCAGGTATATTTCAACCTGTGGGTCCTTATGCTTCAATCGTATTTTTAATGAGGTCGTTAACTTGACCATTTTTTGGCCAAATGGAGCTAATACGAACTTTGCTGTTAGAAATAATTTTGTCATTACTAATCTTCACAAATAGAGTTCAAGAGTTTGTACCGATTTGATAGCCTATAACATTAAATTCTTCGGAGGGGACATTAAAACTTGCTGATAAACTCAAACTACCCCTGTGATTAGGTAGAAAGCTTTCTCCAAAGTTGCAAGGCATTTGCAGATAGATTTCTTTAAAAAAGAAGAGGCGATGTGGCGGTAGTCGTTTTTTTCTCGTCGGCGAGCCGGTAGTAAGTTTAACACCTAGAAACTTTTACGATTATACCAACTTTTTAAACAGATCGCTTCGACCTCAAGACATAATTCACTCTTAAAGCAAATAATAAGAATCCGGATCATTTAAGTATTAGAACCTACTCAAATTTCAATCAGCCAGTTAGAGTGTAAGGAGAGCCATCAAAGCATTTCACTCGCCGCTCTTTCAAGTTATATGTGACCTAGGAGGGGGTGTGCGATAGACTTACCTCCACGTGGTACACCCTGGGCAACGTATACTCATGCGGCAAAAAAGTCTATAAACTGGCAGTTGGCTTCTCACTTCAAACTACCCTTACCTCACCGTATATCATATTCCACCACTTCTACAGTATTCACCTTACCCTACTCTCTATCATTGTGCCTATCTCTTTTACATTTGCAAATCACTCTTCGGTCCGCCCTCTTGAACTTTGATATTTCTCCCCTCTGTGAAGTTCGAAGTCAGCTAAGAGCTAATGATAACTATCAAAATGCCTGCATTTCAAAAAAAAACGTGACCTAGCAGAACACGGTCATTTATGTAAGCCATTTCACTCTAGTTACTTTTTTATCTTTAGCAGCTGAATCGGTGCAAGCGCCTCAAGCTATCCCCTGTTCCAGAAAACTCGCTTGGTCGACCATGGGAGTGTAAAGAATGCGGATTGATGTATACTCGAAAACATGGCTTGGAACGTCATATTGCCTTCGTTCATCATGGTGAAACGGCATTTCGATGTGAATTTTGCAATTTCCACGCACTGGATCGAGCCAACTTCCGTCAGCACATGTCTCGACATTTTCATCTCAAAAACTTCGCATGTGAAGTGAGTTTTTCTGTTAGTTCTATAATTTCAATAACGTTGGAAAAGAGAGGAATGGGATCATAGGTGTGAAGATTGAGGCATTTGGCTTTGTCCGTTTCCCACATTTGAAAATAACTGAAGGTTTTATCGTCATTAAGAGTACCTATTAAAATTTTCCTCTCCGTGGCAATCTCTTGAGAAGTCGATTGTATCAGATTGACTGGTTTTCCGTTCCTCTTTCCTTTTGTCGTTTAATACATTATCAGTGTCTTGAAATTAAGTGGGTTTTTCGTACTCGATTACAAGAATCCCTTTCTTCATGTAATTATCTACACTGTCTTCCAATTGATATCATTGAGCAAGCTTTTCGAAATTGAAATCCTTAAATTAGGAAGAGTTGTTAGTATGGTGTGCTTGGCCTATTTATGCCCATGGTTAAGAAAAAATGTGGTATAGCTTTTAACACAAGAGGAGCATTTAAACTTGGAAATAGTAAACTAGTTCAGAGGTTATGGGGTTTGGGTGGGGGTGGGGTGGGGGATGGGAGAGGTAGGTCAAGTAGAGTTAGAGGATAAATTCAGGGCATCTAAATGTTTGACTTTGGATTCATCAGGTTTACTTCGCACTAAGAAGGTACAGATCACCGTGTCACGTCTTAATGCCCCGAATTCCAAATTTATAGACTTTAAATCATAGGTTATTGATGAACAAGTTCAGTGTTACTGTTCAAATATTCCGGTACGATTTATGTTCGTAGCTCATTTATGAATTGGCAACTGAGACTTCGGCTGTACTGTCTCTTTGATAGCAGCGAGCATCCAGTTAATAGTAACCTTAGTTGTTAAATATTATTTTTTACAGTACATTTTTATTTAGGTCAGTTTACATATTGTAGCCCTATTGTTTGTTTGGTCATTATATCCTGGGAGATTGGGATTCATCTTTAACTTGTATTGAACTAAGGTACGAAATGATTGGCCTTTGGAGGCTGTTTATGTCCCGTTTTTTTTCTCGATTTGTTCGAATTCGAGTGGAGCCTCTGGAACATTGAGTACTTCTTATTGTTATTTGATGTGCCAAGATTGACTGATCATCCTGAAGATTTTCTACTTACGTTGTGCCGCTTTTCTTGTTCCTGCATTTAATAGTAATACCCCCTCCCTTATCAACTTGCAGTCGTCGTTTTATCCTCTACTGAAAATTTTGCAAGCGTAACTTTTGAACAAGCTTTTCGAAAATGAAGTCCGACTTTAAGCATTTGCATTGCTTGGAAGAGTTTTAATTGAACAGTTACTAAATAATAATTGTAATGATTCCCTGGCAAATTAAAATTTTTAATTTTTAGATTATACCTAAACATGAGGGGAATAGTAAATTAGCCTAATAAGGAATCCAGGGGTGTAAGTTAAATAGTGTTTAAGAATTTACTTATGATGATGAACGATTTTTTTTATTTCCATCATCAATGATTCATTTAAAGGTTGCTTTCCATTCTACCAGGCCCTAATTTTCTAGCTTCCAAATGTTGATTTTGAAAATTGCTAGATTCTTGAATGAGTTCATGCCCACGACTCGGGATGTCCTGTTTCTATTCATGCTCTCATGGCCATTTTCTCATTAAACTGATCGGGTGGCCACCCCCCCTCCCCCCTCCCCCCTAATCGGTAATCAGCTAAATTGGCTGACTTTGAATGCCCAACTTTTCCACACTTTTGCCAATCAAAAATTGTCCTCCCAACCTCTAAATAATTTGCCACATTTTTACTTATTTGATCCGTCATTCTGCCTGTTTATGACTTTTAAATAGACTGATAAATCTATTTGAGCTGCCTTTACGAATTTGGGAGTTCAAACCCCATTGAAAACGAGTCTCCTGTTTTTTTGATTTCATTGTTACTCATCTTTTCACTCTGCCTACCGCGTTGAAATGCGTAAAATCTAAAATTCGCCTGAGACCAATTTAGCCCTTCTGTTTTCCAAATTTAATTAACTAAATTACCTCTTGGGTGAATTTGACGGAATGGGTAAAAACTGCCCCCGTTTACCTTTTCACATAAATGTCAATGTGTCTTCTGTTTAGAATATTGCTGGAATCATCCAATCTTGGGAATGATTTTAGCAATTTATAGAATTTCCCTTCTCCATTGAGATATCGAGCCAAGAGGAAATAAACAAAATTAGTCAGAAAAGCGAGTTAGTCTTCAATGCCTAGAGCAGCATCTTATAGCAGTGACAGCGAAACACGTTGTACTCGAACTAAATGCTTTCTTTGTAACTTATGTTCTGGCGAGATTAAGCCGTGCCTCAGAGGCCTTCAGCTCAGAAAATAAATTAGGTAGCAAGTTGGCGTCTACTACCATTGGTTTCCCTTTATTGTAACTGCTAAGGTGTTCTAATGTATGGCCACTGAATTGAGGAATTGCATGGCCACTATTGTCTTCACATATTGGCTTGGAGTCCCTTAGTGGGAACTGTCCATAGGAAACCCAATGAAATATTCTGACTTTTGGTTTATTTATTGCCTAATTGTCAGCTGTCTCGATGGTGTGGAATGTCTAGTATTTTCTCCAACTCCGTTTTACGTGTCCTTCAGCCCCCCCTGGAACGGCTCATTTTATTTTCGCCATGGTGATGAGAGTAGGTGGCTTGGGAAATCCTGTTGTCACCTAATTAACTCTTAAACTATTCTTGAATTTCAAAACTCACTGAAAATACGTAAAATCTTAAAGATGGGCTATATTTTAGAATTAAGCAAGGCAACAGTTATGTTATTTATTAAATTTAAGCAGAAAATTAAATTTAAAAAAATAACTTAAAGTCGTTATTTAAATTGTCTAGGATAAAAAACCCTATTAATGTTTTCATCAGCCCATTTTACAACCTTTTAATCCCCCGTATGCGAGCAGTTTCCTCAGCGGGTGGGGGGAGGGGGGGGGGGGGGGGACTGGGGGGTTGGTTGAGATTGGAGGGTGTNGGTACTGGGGGTTGGATGACGATGGGAGATGGTCAGTGGCAGGACTCTTGCAGACAAATTCTCTGCTTCTGCATAGACTTTCGTAATTGTTCAGATTTTCGCATCTGTTCAACGGATTTTAGCAAAACCAACGTCTTTGTGGGCTTTGTTTACTTAGCTAGAAAAAGCGGTGGCTTTGTAACTAGTAACTGCAAAAATTAGCTGGATTGCAGAGAAAATTTTAAGCAGCCCACGTTGTAAATAGAGTGGGAAATCTATGAATTTCTCTCACAGCCTGAATGAAGTGATTAATGTGGAAACCTTGATTAAATCGATTCTCGACCGTGGGTTAGTCCACCAGTCATTACAAGTATCTAAAGTATATAGTTCTTTTGCCCAAATGGAAATCAGAACAATTCGTGATCATTTTTTACCTTTTTCCCCTTTCAACTTTACACCCCCCTCCCCTCCCTCCTTTTAGCACTGTGATCATCGTTGTATCACGAAGCAAGAGCTGGAGGACCACGTTCGCTTCAAGCATAGTGACAAACGCGATTTCAAATGTCCTGATTGTGAAGCCACTTTCAAGGTCAGTCTCAATTTTTTTGCCTAACGTTTTTATTGACATCCTGTCTTTTTGCCCCCCCCCCCCACTTTCCGCCGCTGTTCTTCCCACAACCCCCAGTTCATCGTTATTCACACAGCCGCAGCAAAATCCGCCATAATTCGGCCGAATTATTTGCTAACTCTAAGTTGCAGTATTTCTTGTGGCTAGATTTCGTCTATGCCACAAGAGTTTTGAACGCTTGACTAAATTATGAATTCAAGCATAACTTAAGTAGTGGAGTAGGCTTTGAATGAGCAGGTGATGATGAATTTTTAAGAGATGGTGGTCTTAATTAAGCACAAGGGGGGGGGGCTCGATAAGCATTTTTTTGTTTTCGGCTTTTTCCCCTATTTCACCTTGAATAAAGAAATCGGAGGATATTCTAATTCATATAACCACTAAGCGCTACATAAACATATCTCCAAAAAAGCGCATCCCATTACGTATTTAATGCCAAATTCAGGTGTGTTTAATTCATCGTTAAGCTTCCAATATTGTGCATACCGTAGGACGTTGTAATGGCGTGAAGTTTAAGCAATCTAGTATTGTGGTAATACAAATCGACGATAGGAGGCGCTGACTTATCCATTTACTCGAAAGTGATCTCGGAAAATTCCCTTTAAATCTCCTAATTTTAGGATCAAAGCTGTTTAGTGGAGCAAAGTCAGCTAGCATATCTATATATTCAAGGCGGCAGATCTTTAGAAAAAATCGATTTAGAATATTGGCAGATTTAGCAAGATTCAATTGAAGATCAAGATAGGTTACTACAATTCGAGCTTCTTTATGATGGGTTCTTTTTATTCTTAGACTCCAGGGACTTTGAGTCGTCATCAAAAGACACACACCAACGTCTCCTACCTTTGCAATCAATGCAGTGCCTCCTTTAATCGAATGAGCAATCTTAAACGCCACAAGGAGACCCTCCACTCTTCTTCAGCTGAGAATAGACGCAATCGAGGTAGACCTAAGAAAGATGCGACTTCTCGGCAGAAACAATTGCGTAAAGCGACTCCTAATGAACAGCAGCAAGGCCCGCAGAAGGAGCAACACCAAGGGCATCTGTCTGTAGTACAGGGGGCCATCGAGGCATCCGGACTTGAGTCGATGTGGGATTATGAGGCGACGCGTATTCATTCTGTGAGTGTTTTCTTTAGAGAGGTAGATTTCTTGCCTTCATGCCCAAGTTTTCATCCACTAAGTTATCTACTAATTCAGTGGGAGTGCTTCAATACGCTGATTGTTGCTAAAAATTCTTAATTTGTCAGGTCTTTTGGGGAACTATGATGATGCACTTTGAATAACGCTCCCTTTTAATGGTAGAAGTACTTCAAGGGTTGCAAATGCAAACTCAATTACCTTTAACTTTAAAATATACTGGATACCTATTTTAAGTGCAACTTGAGGAAATTCTTAAGCGAAATAACTTACTATCTCGTTCTGGTAATCATTGTATTTTGCCTGTTATAAGCCTTCAAAGATCTTGTGAAAATGGCGCATGGTCACTCCATTTACAACTCACTGGTTCATTTTACGTTTTACATTTTCGCATTTAAAGCAAGTGTATGATTTCAACATGTTCTAATGTTTTTATTGCTTGTTTACTGAACATGTTCACTATCACAGTAATCTACTTTTCATACATAGACTTACTTCAATGGCAGGCTTTACCATAGTTCTCGTTAGCCCTTTATTTGACCTCTGGCTTCACATAGGAGAGTAACATCAAAGTCATAAAAGTCGAGAAAGGGGGTGGGAGTAAAAGAGTGATTCGCAGATGTAAAAGAGACAGACACAAAGGTAGAGAAAAAAGGTAAGTGAGTACTGTGGAAGGACATACAGTGAGGTCATACTTGTTTGGGGTCAACTGCTAGAGTACAGACCTTTTTGCTCTATGAGTATACGTTGCCCAGAGTGTACCACGTGAAGGTAAGTCTATCGCACACCCCTTGTCTATTAATAATGGACCACGTTCCAGCAATTGTGTTTCCTAATTATTTACGCAAAAGAATGTCGATTTATTCTAGGAAGGTTACTGAAATTGACTGATCCTGGGGTACTTTGAATGGTAATTGAAATTGAGCACAATCTACCTCCTCTAATCTCAGGATACCATCTCAAATCTATTAGATCGTTCTTTTTTCCCCTTTCATTATCTGTGGCAAAAATTACATCATATAAACATGGAAAAGTTCTCTTAACTTAGTGATCACTAGGATGGTACAATAATGTGGGAGTACGTGAACTGATGTTGGGTGTGAAGTCTGCTATTACAATCGAAATCGGAATTCACTGTTCAAAATTTCGAAGATGGGGTTTCTATCCCAATATTCTTGAGTGAGCTAATACCCACGATGTCAAGGCTTTGGCCGGTTTTTTAACTAGATTAAGGATTCGATGCGTTTACTTCTAGTAAATAGTTATTAGCGAATGTGATTTTAATATAGCTTATCTCCTTAAAAATTGGATCTGTTTAATGTAAACTTTATCTTCCCAACTATTTTCAGTCATAATTGTATGTTGTTGCCGTAGCCATTCACTTGTAATTAACATATAGTTCATGAATTCAAATCTTGCAGATCTATCAAAAAAACTATATTGCTATCTATGCCCTTTCTCTCGTTTAAGGCTTCCGAAGATCAGCTTTGCACAACTGTTACCTCAACTGCGGTTATCGATCAACCAGTCTACCTTGTGACCTTTGAGACTGAGTCCGGATGGATTCCGGCTAGTAGTGTTGTCTCTGCAACTAATCTAACCGATGAAAGTCTCCCACTTCATCTACCCCCTCCCTCTTCACAACTCCCCAATCAGCCTCCTCCGCGTAGTGATACAGTCCTCCCTTGTGTCTCGGACTTCTTTTCGTCCTTCCTAACTTCAGGTCCTACCACTGCAAGCAATAACGTCCAGCACCAGTCGCCTTCCCATCCTACCAATGCAGAGAATGTTCACCACCAATCAGCACCATCAAATCACCAGCATCACCACATTTGGAGATCTGATGGAGATATGGTGGATGATCTTGCGAATGGTTCGGCAGTCGGCACAGATGATCTAATATGTGACTTTCTAAATTGCGAAGTCGTGACTGCTGAGGAGGACGTGGAGGCGTCTGGCTGTTCTGAAAATGCTGGAACTAATTTCTCGGTAGGGTATCTAATCGGTGGAGGAGCTGGTGGTAGTGGAAATGGCATTATTGAACAAGGTGGAAGTCGGGCTGGGGAAGAATTACACACATTACCGACGTCTGATTGTCTCTCTCTTGTTCCGATTGTCACTACAGCCTTTGAAGACTCCTCAAGTGCTGGAATTAATAATAACGCTCAAGTTCACGGAACGAGTGCCTTCCATCCATTTTGGACCTCAATATCATCCAGCGGATCTGCAGGGGAATGTGCGGCAAATGCTCAATCAGGAATCATTCACGAGGGATATGAGGAATTTGAACAGCACGAAAATGATATGTGATGCATTTATTACTTTGCTCAATGCATTTATAGATGTCTGTATTTATTTTTTCGTTAAAATAAAACCATAATTTGTGATACTTCAGCTAGATTTGATTCTTCTCATGCAAGAACAAAAGCGAGCTTTTCAAAATAGTAAGTAAAATAATTTTGAGACGACTCGGTGTGTGGGGAAAATGTTTTTTTGGGTCTAGATTTAGAGCCGGATAATTTGTTGGCTAAAAATGTGAATTTCGGCATTTGTTGGTGAATGCATATGCACCAAATACTGCAATATGGACGCAGGCCAACACTGCACACTTCATTGACCGTTTGAAAGCAGATGCTGTGCTGGTTGAAAAATTAACGGATGTAGTGATTGGCGAATTAGCCTAATCCTGGCGAGCATGCATGCGAAAGTACCAGTCGACCGGACCTCCGACAATGGATATGGACAGATTCGGGTCACTTGATGCGTTTGTTTCTTCTAATTACTGTCTTTATTCCCTTAAGTGCTCTGTATGCGTAATGGCATTCGATTGGCGACAGTACATCTCAATTTTGTGGATAGGGAAATGATATGGGTTAAGGAATTTTATGGGCTTGGAGACAGGTTATTTTTGATCAACTACTGAATTCACATTTATCTCGCCTATGGTGGAAGCAAGGATGTGTTGGATAATTATTATGCCTACACTCATACAATTTCAAATTCCAATATTTGTTTATTTCAAATGGCAGGCGTTATGATAGTTGTCATTAGCCCTTTAGCTGACTTCGGGCTTCACTGAGGGTAGGGATATCAAAGTGAGAAAAATTCGAGAGGTGGAACAGTAAAGTAATTCACAGATGTTCAAGAGACAGACAGACACAAAGGCAGAGAAAAGGTAAGATGAGTACTGTGAAAGTGGTCGAATATGACACAGTGTCAAGTCATGGTAGTTTGAAGTCAGAAGTCAACTGCCAGTTCATAGACCGTTTTTGCCGTATGAGTATACGTTGCCCAGAGAGCACCACATGGAGGTAAGTCTATCGCACACCCCACTTCCAATATTAACTTTTATCACTTCGCAGGTGGTGCAATAAGGCTAACTTTGCGGTCTGTTAATACGACGTGATTTTCTTTTTTGTCCGAATCAAGTCCACAGGAAACATTGGCGCAATTCCAGAAAACGCCAACAGGATCATGGTCGTTGATGTCTGCCTGCCTTTTCTCCATAGGGGGTTCACGTGGACGCTGTGAATTCTACATTCATGTAGAAGCATTTACAATACTCAAAGGCCATATCGTGTAACTGTACTTCTGTTTTTCAAATTTCTATAAGGGAAAGCGAATAATGATTTATTGATGCAGGATATAGGACAAAAAGTGGAAGCTATGCAAAGTGATTTGCTAGTTGCTAAGACAATGTTGTGTGATCATTATCAATGGAAGGAGCAGCGCGCAATAAATGATGATTCAACGGCTAATGCGGCCATTTAATCGATGTCATGACAATGAAGCATAACAAAAAAGATGGATTTATGCTTGATCACTCGGTATATAGACCAAACGAGACACAAAGGTCACAACTGCTTCGAGCCTTGCTGAATCAACATACTTGTCGACCTATTTTGACTGGAAATCAAAGAGGTTCTGAATGAAATTTTGCGAACCTAGTATTACGTCTTTTTTAACAGTTTGTAGAAATGATTAGCTAATTTCATTGGGGGGGGGGGTGTGTGTGTGTGCTTAAAAGCAAATTTTGTTTTTTTACCGCGTGCATAAACGTCTGTCTAACAGGGTACTACATACATTTAATGATGTGGTTTTTATTACCTTCATCACTTTAGTGGTCACATTTTCGCAACTGCATTTTTGACGCAATTCAGAAATGAATTTTTGTGGCTTTGTTTTTATAGCGAGGCAAAGCCCCAAAAGCATTGAAGGCGAATCTGGAAAATGTGAGTAGACTTTCAGTGACTTTCAACTATCGTTCCCACCCCAGCAAACTTCCCAACCCTCAATGTTTGTCAATTTTTTTTGAATGTTTCAAGTATCTTGAAAAAGCGCAAGAGACAAATAAATAGTAATAATTGTGACTCTAGTAGATGTCAGAACAGGGTTGGTTCACCGTAAATATTTTATTTCAATTAAATCTACTATTCATAAGATTATTTGAGTAATAACATTACTTTAAGGTGTTATGTTCTGAACTTTCGAATTTCACCACTCAACCTCAATCTTCAGAACTGATTCGTATCCGCGGCGTCTACAGTTAGTCTATTAAATAATTGAATTCATTAGTTTATCGTTTGATTTCAATTCATTTATCACTTCCTCCAGCTCGGTACAACTAGCCCATACTATCGCTGTAAATCCCATTTCAATTTAGTTCAATCCACACTTCATAATATCGACTCCTTGGGTTTTTTGCGAGCCCTTGGTTCAAGACAATCAATTACCACTAATCGCTAGATCAGACATTTATTTAAACTGCAGTATATTTATGAGCTGAATTGGTAAGCAATTTTCTATACAACTAATCCTTGAATTGCTTGATAATTTGATGGAATAAATGTGTGTGGTCTTGTGGAGGGTTCAGGAGTCGACACAGAAGATCTTATATGGAATTTCCTGAACTATGAAACATAGTGTGTTAAAGAACATGTGGGGGGGGGGGGAGGTACATGATGTTCTGGAAATGCGTCCTCATCTCCTTCTTGAGTTTATTGTCGTCTAATATTAACAAGAGATACGAGTACTTTAACAAGCACGACAGCGTTATGACGCATTTAATATTTTGCTAGAAGCATTGGGGAAGTAAATGGCACATATTATCTTCGTTTCAATCTACCTTAGAGTTTTGTTTATTTGGGTAGACTTTAAGTCTACTTTCTACACGCAAACTATCTAACAATTTGCCAAGTTCCTCACTATTTCAAGGTCTCTTAAATACGGATATGGGTTTTACCCTCGTAGGAACGAGAGCAAACTGTTCGGAGAAGAAAGTAACTGAAAGTAAAAATCAACTTCTGATATGCGTGTCAAAATTGTTTTTTTTTAAACCACCAGTTTGAGAAGTAGACATATTTATGAGTTTGTGCAACATTTAAATATGCATAATTTCGACAGAAAAATGTAGAAATTGAAAGTAATTTTCCAAAAGAGATGCATTTAATTTTGATACTGAGAGTTAAATTGTGAAAAAATAACCTCTTGTGACTTTTAATTAAGCGCAACCACCTGAAGTTATCGCGACATAAATCTATGAGCCCTGCTGTTAATCGAAAGATAGGGAAATGTTGTAGAAAACCCAGAATTGTTAGAGGTCATGTTAGAAGCCGAAAGAGTGACAGAATAAGACATGAATTGATTGTAGCCAATGGGATGGACAGAAAAGTATTTAGAATTAGTGGCAATTGGAATGTATACTAATTGCAGAATCTAATTTCTCAATAACTCTGAAAATATCAGGCAGCATCAGCTGCCATATCATCGGCAAATTAATGCTAATTGCTGTCATTTTGTTTAATCTAAAAGGCTAATCGGTAGCAAGATTGTGAATAGTGTTATCTGGTTTAAGTCACCAAATTATGAAAGTATCGATGAAATTGAAGTTTTCTGCAACAAATTGCAGTCCTTGGTATTGTATAGGGAAAATTGCGATTTACTAAAAACAAGAAAATGTTGAAAAGTATCATTAATGTTGCAATGACAAGCCACAGGGCCAACAATTCTAAAAAATATGCACTATTTTACCTTTGTTTAACGGAATTCGCACGAGCTCCATGCTGCCATATGCCAATAAATCTGGTTTTAACCACTACTCATTACTCTTTACGACCACTTAGAGTATACCCAGATAAGGAGGCAAGTTGTCTGTTTTATTAATGCGAACGAAATGGCTTATTTTTCTATTTTGATTGTGGAAGTTCTGAGCTGTCTGCTTAGCCAATAACTACAGCAGTTTTAGAATTTCATTCCCAGTCACAGGCGTGGAAAAACAATAATCGATTATTTAATGTTTTAACGTTCGGGTGCACACAATTTTTAAAAGTGACTTCGTAGCAAGGAATCAATTCATCAGGAAATCAATCTCAATGAAGCGACCTATTCTCATTCCTCTTCAAATTCTAAATAGTTGGGAAATTGTATGGCAGAACTTAGCCACACCCTTTTGAGACGGTAAGTAGTTAGAATGATCACTAACGAAGATGATATACTTGCAAGTTCAAGCGTTTGCTACTGTGATATAATAATTATATTATAACAGATTATTTTCACGACAATTATTGGAGCAAGTTTTAATTGATCAGATTTTGACATGATATTTGTTTAACTGTGAATATCTGATGAAAGTCAAAATTTACGGCAAGGAGCGTTTCTTCTATTTTTATATGCCAATTGGAACGATGTTTCGTAATGAAGATTAAGACCGTCATTAGAGCTCTGTTCATTAATTGGACCTGATGTTTCTATGCCTGAATCGTTTAATAGCTTTAGATTAATTATTTTATACCATTTTCTGCAAAACTTTATGGTATTGCTAAAGCCTAAAAAATTCTGACAATATTTTATTTTGCAAAAGAGAGAAAATAATTACCAATTATTACTTTAGTAGAAAACATTAACGTATTACTTGCGACCGGCATATGAGACCACTTGAAGAGTCGATAAAAGAAGCTTTAACAATTTGAAGAATGGGCCCGTTAATGTTAAAAAAGTAAAGTGTCAATTCAGGTTAAAAACTACTTTAAAAATCTAATATTTTCAAACGTTTTCTTCTCCCTTTTATGCCTCACCATCCTCTATGCTTCTTAGAATGAATATATCTTAAGACATCAAGACAAATTTTCTTTCATTCTAAAATTTAAGATTCTTGTAATTCCAACTGCTTGACGCATACTTAAACAAATTCAAATTCAGTATCTACGAAGAGATGAGTATAAACCAAAACTTTGATAATGGTTTTTGATGTGCTCTTGGGAAAAAAGATGCTCAATTTGATCGTATTGAATTTTTTTGCTGAGATAATGTTT